CACCTATCTCCCTCAAAAGTCAAACAAAAATACCTGCCAGTGAAACTGTTTTGGAATTCACAATTTATTGAAGCCTAACCCCATTTTCTGGTCCACAGGAAATGGGATTTTAATGAAGGTTTGTTTTGTTTTAGTTGGCTGTTTTAAGTGTTATCTCATGGAAACTTTGAGCTATATGGGCTTTAGTTTCTCAGTCTAAACCAGAGAAACTATTAAACATATAATATACTTGAAATATAGAGCTAAGGAAACTATGGAACTTTAAAAAAAAATGTGTAACAAGAAGAATGTGCTGGAGTTTCAGAATGGCTGCCAAGAGCAGATTTTGGTTTTCTGTGTGGCCTGGCAGCTGGAGTGAGGGCTGGCCTTAGCTCCTGTGCATGCCACATGCTAGTGTCACAGTTTCCTTTGGTATTGTTGCTTCAGTGAGCTCTGGAGCTTCTCCTCCAGTTTTGGCTGTTAAGTTCAGGCTGAAGAATGGGATCAGGTATGAAAAGCAGAATTTGGAACTGAGAGAATAACAAGAAAGGTGCACAGCTCTGAGAACAGAGAAGCTTGCCTCTCTTCCACATCCTGCCTCAGTTGTCCTAAACAGCCCACTGTCTGTCAGTGAGCATCAGCCAAGGTCCCTGCCTTTCTTAGACAGACGGCTATCAAAGGAGCATCCCTGCATTAATTCACAAGTGAGGTAGAAGTCAGACACAGTGGCTAAATTCTGTAATCATAGATATTTGGGAGGCAGAGAATGGGAAATGGCAGCTCAAGGCCTGCCAAGTCCCATCTCCCCCCATTTTTTTTTCTTTAAAAATAAGGTTTGGGGCTAGGAAGGTGGCTCAATAGTAGAGTGCTTGCCTTGCATGCATGAGGCCCAGGGTTCGATTCCTCAGCACCATATAAGCAGAAAAAGCCGGAAGTGGAGCTATAGCTTATGGTAGAACGCTAGCCTTCAGCTGAAGAGCTGAGGAACAGCGCCCAGGCCCAGAGTTCAGGCCCCGTGACTGACATAAATAAATAAATAAATAAAAATAAAGTTTGTAAGACACTTTCCTCAACCAATGGCTGGACATGGTCATGTGTGACTCTTGTTCCAGGCTAAAAGGAAAACAGAGTGGATGGATACAGCAGTGTGCACCTGTCATTCCCAAAGACCCAGAGAATCATAAATAGGAGGATCAAAGTCCAGGCTGGCTCAGTCATAAAGAGAGACCCTGTCTCAAAAACAACTAGTGCTAAGAAGGGTCTGATGAAGAGTACCTGTCTAGAAAGCATGAGGCCGAGTTCAAATTCCAGTATATCAAAAGAAAAATAGAGGGAAAATGAAAATAGGAAATTGAGAGTCTGCCTCCCTGTTGGCATTATCTATTGTAGTTAGGGAGCACTGCAATTTGCTGCTTTAGCAGCTGGATCCTTCCGGAGTTAACAGTGAAGGCTGTTGAATGCAGGGCCTGCTATCTAGTAGAGACTCTTGCCTGTTGATGGAGGTTCTAGAACATTCTGGACAACACTGTATGAGTAACTCCAATAAAAGTACTAGTAGGTTGGAACACAGTACTTTGAGGCATTATTGTCTAGTATTGCCCACTTCTGGCTATTACAAAAGTCTTTCGGGTCTGGGCACTGAGCTTTTGTGCTCAAGGATAGCACTCTACCATCTGAGCCACAGCTCCACTTCTGGCTTGGTGGTTAATTGGAGATAAGAGCCTTATGGATTTTCCTGCCCTGACTGGCCTTGACCTGTAATCCTCAGATCTCAACCTCCTAAGTAGTTAGGATTATAGCTAGGAGCTACCAAGTCAGGCTGAAAAGTCTTTTTTTTTTTTTTTTTCTTGTTAGTCGTGGGGCTTGAACTTGGCCTGGGCGCTGTCCCTGAGCTCTTCAGCTCAAGACAAGCACACTACCACCTGAGCCACAGCACCACTTCCAGTTTTCTGGTGGTTAATTGGAGATAAGTGTTTCATGGACTTTCCTGCACGGGCTGACTTTAAACCAAGATCCTCAGATCTCAGCCTCCTGAGTAGCTAGAATTACAGAGGGAAGCCACCGGTATTGGTCCGGGCTGAAAAGTCTTTTTATTGAGACCAACAATGCCTTCTGGCAGATTCTTCTCTGTGTTCTATTGTTCTTTTGACAGCCATATAAAATATATCTCTTTGCATTGTTATCCTGGTGTTTGCAAAGAAATGTCAGATCAACACTGATATCTTGAAGTAATTTACCATTTAGACTCTTCGTCTGATGTTGCTGGTTCTCTACTATAGTCTTGAGGAACCCAAGTATATGCCCTAAACCTCTCCCTGTTTTAGCTGTGCAATTGTTTATCCATAAACACTGGAGTGTAAAGGCACAAGCCCTATGTAGCAATGCTTTCTTCTAATAATGAGAACAATATAGGGAATAGTGCTATGATTTATTTAACATAATATTTTTTAAATTTACTGAATGGTTCAGTCTCACTTATATTTATTTTGGCAGCATTTAGATTATGGTATTTTTGAGCTTTAAAAAATATGTCCTGTTCTTTGGAAAACTCAGTATTTTTCTTACATTGATCAGTTTTGATAAAGATTTCTATTCATGGAAGCTTTGAGTTTGAGTCTCAAATTTCTCTTAATCAGAAAACTCTTGGGAATATTATTCTACTGCTCCTGCTGTTACTAGTAGATGGTAAGTGTTCAGAGCTAAGAAAGCTCTCTGAGTCATCCCTCCCCAACTCCACTGAGGCTTGCAGGCACCCAGAACTCCCTGGAGGCAGCAGAGCTGAAGGAACTCCTTCCTCATTCAGGTTGCTTTCAGCTATGCTCACACATTCTAACTGATTTTCATCTCCTAGTTTCTTCCAGCCCATAATCAACCTTTCCACTGAGAAAGAGTAGGAGAGTAGATTTGGCTAGGTTCTCATGAGCATTTATAACAGGATTGGAATTACAGCTACAACATTAGAAGTTTCCCTTTTACTACTTAACTGGTCCTCATACTTGGAATGGAAAATATGTGTAAGTGACATGGTATTTCTCATCAGACACTATATTAGGTAAATAAGTCATTGTGCTTTTGAATTCCCATGTTTAAAGGTCCACTTAACTTTTTTCTATCAGTTGTAGATCTCAGTTATAACATTCTTCATATATCTCACAGAAAAAAATCCAGACTTCATACAAGTATATTCAAAACAGAATCTTGTAAGCTAAAAAGTTAGAAGTCCAAGCATACCTTTGGAAACCTTTTTTTTTTTTTTTTGCCGGTCCTGGGGCTTGAACTCAGGGTTGGGCACTGTTCCTGAGCATGTTTTGCTCAAGGCTGGTGCTCTATCCCTTGAGCCACAGTGCCACTTCCAGCTTTTTCTGTTTATGTGCTACTGAGGAATTGAACTCAGGACTTTATGCATGCTAGGCAAGCACTCTACCACTAAGCCACATTCCCAGCCCATGCCTTGGAAACTTAATCTCAGTACAGTTTGTTCATGGACAGTGATATCTATCTTTTTTTTTAATTTGGTCAGTCATAGGTTTTGAACTCTGGGCCTGGGTGCTGTCCTTAAGCTCTTCAGCTCAAGGCGAGTGATCTACCACTTGAACCACAGCACCACTTCTGGTTTTTGTGGTTAATTGGAAGTGAGAGTCTCATGGACATTTCGCTCAGGCTGTGATCCTCAGATCTCAGCCTCTTGAGTGGCTAGGATTACAGGTGTGAGCCATCGGCCCCCAGCCAATGATATCTTTTAAAATAGCATATTCTTAAAAAATAGCTTATTTTACTTCAGAAGTATAAATAGCATTTGGATTAAAGAACTGGCTTTTTATTTTATGTCGATTTTCTCCTACATCAGTTTTTTTAAAAAATATATCTAGCAACCTAACTACTGTTATAAAGAACACATTTCTGCATCTCCATTTGTCTGATGTTTCCTACAGTGCTTGTAAAGTTAATCTGTTTTGTCTCAAGTCTTAGATCAAGTATCAGAATATTTTTTTTTAATGTAGTGGTTAGTTGTAACAGAAGACTGCATACCCTCCATTCTTTCCACTACCACATTTAATTGTTGAATGCCAAAAACTAACTAAAAGCATCAAAATGTTTGGATTATCTGTCTCTGTCTCTCTCTTTCTCAACAGTTCAGTGATTCTTAGTGCAATTACCAAAAAACAACTATTTTTAGAGAGATAAGATAAATATAAACCCCTTTAGGTTCCCTATGACTCAGTCCTTACAACATGTGCCACTGCTTCTTAGCTGCCATACCTCTAAATAAATTAACATGAAATTAACATTTCACCTAGATTATTAATGAAAAGCAAATGCATTATTTAATTTTAGTAAAAAAATTGGCTTTGTGAAAGGAGAAAGGAAATCTTTGGGTATGTTAAATTCTGACTATGGATTTTATTAAAAAGAAGCCCCTCATCTTTCATATCATATAGAGAACTAAACTGTTGCTGATAAAATTTCTGTCTTAGAATTATGTAGATTGCAGTTTTATCTACCCAATACTATTTTATTGCATATAAATAAGTTATCAAGAAAAATCCAAGTAATACTGACTCTTGAATAATTTACATGTTTTATAAAAATACATTACCAATCATCAGTTTCATACTTTGAAATCAATATTTACTGTTTCATTTAATGTATATGTGGTGGCCTACCCTCAGACTTCATTATCATTAATTATTAACGTTATTTTCTTAAAAGAACATGGAAAGTATCTGCTTAAATAACTTTTCAAATTAGTCATTTTCACATTTATAGTAAAACCTAATTATAAGTTTTCATTTGATTGTAAAAATAATAAAGGCACATTTAAATTTTTATTATAAGATATAAAACTAATTTGAGGAACAAATTAGTTTTTTAGTATTTAAATGCTGATTTTAAGATACTATATAGCAAAGCCTTAAACTTCATAGTATTATTTACAAACATTTATTAGTAACAATGTCTCCTTAATATTAACTATAAAGTAATTGTACAGTGGTACTTGTAAGCCAGACATGAAAACATACCTTGTCAGAAGAGTAGTTTTCTTGAAAAGTAGTACAGGGCAGATAGCTACAATGTAAATGTTCTCAGGCACTGTTTAAGAAAAAAGATGAGGAGGTGCTACATTTAAAAGAGAAAACACCCTCCAGTTACAGCCCCTGGTGTGGCTGCACCCTGGCTGATACTGGAATAAACTCCTTCCACAGATTAGTCCATGTTAGTACTGAGGAGCAAGATTAAAACTTGTTACTGCTCATATGTTTTCCATCACTGTTTGTATCGTAGCCAAAACTTCTAGCTAAACTCTAGACGTCTACTGGAAGATTCAGAAGAAATAAAAAAAGGAGTTTAATAATATATGGCAACTGGCCATGGAAGTTGCAGTCATAGTCACTCAAATACCTGATTTTTTTAATTCTTAAGTAAATGAATACTTATAATTTCAAAACTCACTCACTGTGTAGACTAATAAAACATTTATCAATTGTAGTAAAGAGCAGCAATTTTGATGAAATGTAAACCCAAACTCCAGATGTATCAGAGAAAATAGCCATATTTTGTTTTCTCCCAATGATTGAAGCTACTACATTGAACAGATTTCCCAAGATTTTTTTTTTCTTTGAAAGCACTTATTCCTGTGATAGATATATTAGGGGAATTACAGACTAGGGTCTGTAAGCTGTGTGTGGTGTATGTAGACAGCTGTGTACAGCAGGTAACTCTGCTGGGATTGCTGAAGCCATTCCTAGCCATTCCTTCGCAAGACAAAACTGTACCCTCTCTCAGCTGTGCTCTCACTGTGTGTAAGAGAGCATAGAAGGCACTATTCTCTGAAAAGCCCCATTTCTACTCACACCTCCCCTCCCCAAATTACCCAATACCCACAGCTACTCCAACATAATTCTTTAAGAGAGGACATTTTTCTGAGTCTAAGAATATTAAAGACTTTCTTGTATAAGTGACCATAATAGATCACTCGATTGCTGTGTATCTTGAAAGACACCTTCTTTGACGAGCTTTTCAAGTGGGTAAGCAGAATTTTTCTCTCATTATAAAGAATCTGTGCAACCATTTGTTCCCATCCTCGAGGGAAATAGCACAATTTGTTGAAGCAAGACAACCACAGCCATGGAACACTTGTGCCTAGCATGTTCAGAGCAACTGAGCCATGTGTTCATCCTCTCCTCACTGAAATGAAATACTTGTCTTTAGATGTCAAGTGTGACCATCACAGGCAATCTCATACTGCCAGCCTTCAGTGCAGCTCATGTGTTGTTCCAGCCCTCCGGCACCTGATGGAACGTTCAGTTATTCAGTTATATTTGAGTTAGAAATATATTCATTAACTTGATAAATTGGAAACTTCATGAAAGTATGAAGTGTATTTTATTCATCCTTGTGTCCAGAACAACCAGCATCTGCCTGAAGTCCATTAGAACAGTCATAAACAGGAAGCCCTGGAGTAAAATTCAATTTGTTCTCAATAATACTTTGTTTTATTAATTAACATTTTATTGAGGCATATATTAAAGATAGATAAACACCATTATGGTATAGCTCACTAACTCTCACAAACTGATCCTTGTTCAAAAAAATCACATTTCTTAGTCCTTCTTCATCCTCTGAAATTGGAATATAATTTCCAGTTTAAGCTACTGTCTGACTTATGTAAATAGAATATATGGTGCATTTACTCTTGTATCTGGCTAGTTTCATTAAATATAATGTTTCATTTTCATTACTATGTAGTATTGTCAGAATATGCTACAAATTATATATTCAACTGAGTTAATTACCTTTTTTTTTTTTTTTTGGCCGGTCATAGGGCTTGAACTCTGGGCCTGGGCGCTGTCCCTCAGCTCTTCAGCTCAAAGTTAGCACTCTACCACTTGAGCCACAGTGCCACTTCCAGCTTTTTCTGCTTATGTGGTGCTGAGGAATCAAACCCAGGACCTCATGCATGCAAGGCAAACACTCTACCACTGAGCCACCTTCCCACCTACCTTTTAAAGATCTTCCATGAACACTCATAATCTCTGGGAGTCATGTATATGTGTTTTATTCCATGTCTAAAAAGTAGAAGATTTTATCTTCTTGAGAAATCAAGTTTTGCCTATGCATAGTACCTATTTTTGCATGGAGACAATTGTCTGGAGCTCAGGTTCCTCCTTCTAGAGGGATGTGTGCTTTCCCTTTTCTGCTCATGCTCTGTCCACATCAACTACCAGGAAATTTTATTTCACAGTCCAGATTTATAATTTCTCTTCCTAACACTACTTGGCCTTAAATCCTACACAGCAAATTGTCTGAAGATGGAGGGCCATCTCCCTCTCTGCAGCATTGGCAGCTCATGGACTCACTGCTGCTAGGTCACAGAGTTGAGTTCACTTGTCATCTTACGTGACTGTGAAAACAATTATTGCCCCAGATGGTCATGTTGTATGGATTTAGTTGAATTTGTATGTAATAAAGGACTTATGCAATTTAAATGTAGACATATAATTTATATGTCAAATATTAAGAATCTCTCAAAAGTCAATTTGTGTTGAGAAGTCAGTACTAGTAATGGTTTTGTTTTAAGTAAAGTTCTCAGCCTTTTTCCACTGAGAGGGTCTGAGAACAATGAGTACATGTAGTTTCCAGACCTGTGTTTCTAAATAACTTTTTTCCTACTGAAAGTAATGAGTGCTCTTTGGAGAAATGGCCAGTAACAGATCTATGACGCCTGATTAGGTTTTGAACCTCACAAGACATTATTGGGACATCTGAGGTCTGAATATGGATAGTGTATTATTCTGAATCAATGTTAGATTTCTTGGATTTTGGTAAAATCAAAGTGATAATTATCTCAAGATTTTTTTTAAAAATGCCTTTGGGGCTGGGAAGGTGGCCCAGTGGTAGAGTGTTTGCCTTGCATGCATGAAGCCCTGAGTTCAATTCCTCAGCACCACATAAGCAGAAAAAGCTGGAAATGGCACTGTGACTCAAGTGGTAAAATGCTAATCTTGAGCTGAAGAGCTGAGGGACAGCGCCCAGGCCCAGAGTTCAGGCCCCATGACCGACCCTCCCCCCCTCCAAAAAAAAAGCCTTAGTTCTTAGCTTATCCATATGAAGTGTTGCACTATGTTGTCTACAATATAAATTCAAATGGCCCAGAAATACCCCCATGGGTGATGGATGGATATTGTTGTGGATGGAAGGATACAGATGGATCAATAGATACAGATTTAAATGTAGTACAGAGATCATATATAGATGGATGGATGGATAGATGTGGATATGGAAGGTGAGAAAGATGAAAGAAATGTACACAGCATTAATTGGGAGCATAGGAGTGAGATATAGAGTTGTACATTACATTACTATTGAAAGTTTTCTGTAGCCTTGAAATATTACTAAATAAACGGGGTAATAAATACATTAAAAATGAGGCAAATATGAGGACAGTCTTAATTTTAGCTTTTTAATTTATCCTTTTATTACTAAAATATTTTTGGCAAAATTTATGTTAATTCATATGTAGCCTAGACAGGGATTCTTAACTTGGGCATACAAACCCCTGCAGGAGTTTTAGAAATTTGTGTGTGTGTGTGTGTGTGTGTGTGTGTGTGTGTGTGTGTGTGTGTGTGTGTGTGTGTGTGTGTGTGTGTGTGTGTGTGTGTGTGTGTGTGTGTGTGTGTGTGTGTGTGTGTGTGTGTGTGGTGTGTGGTGTGTGTGTGTGTCTTTTTTTTTTTTTTTAACAAATCTCTGCATACATGAAGTATTTTTTTGTTTTGTTTGTTGTTTTTGGTCAGTTGTGGGTCTTGAACTTTGGGCCTGGGTGCTATCCCTCAGCTCATCAGCTCAAGGTTAGAGCTCTACCTCCTGAGCCACAGGGCCATTTCCGGTTTTCTGGTGGTTAATTGGAGAAAAGAGTCTCATGGAGGGCTGGGAAGGTGGCTCAGTGGAGTGCTTGCCTTGCATGCTTGAGGCCCTGAGTTCGATTCCTCAGTACCACATAAGCAGAAGGAAAAAAAGCTGGAAGTGGTGCTGTGGCTCAAGTGGTAGAGTGCTAGCCTTGAGATGAAGAGCTGAGGGATAGCGCCCAGGCCCAGAGTTCAGACTCCACAACCGGACCCCCCCCCAAAAAAAAAAAAAGAGTCTCACATACTTTTTTGCCTGGTCTGTCTCTGAACCACGATCCTCAGATCTCAGCGTCCTGAGTAGCTAGGATTATAGGCGTAAGCCACTGGCGCCCGGCTACATGAAGTGTTTTATATGTATCCTTTTCTTCAGTGAAGGGTCCATTGTAAATTTTGTCATATTGTCAAAAGGATCTATCTTTCAAACAGTTAAGAACTACTGCCCTAAAATATATAATTTTTATTTTCCTTCTGAGTGTTGTAATCTAGTGGCATTAGCCTTCAAATGGTTCATATATCAATTTGGTACCTATGAATATAATTTCTAATTTTGTAAAACAGACAAATCTTTAGCAGATCCCCAGTAAAAAAGGTTTGCTTGTATCAGCTGATAGTTTAATGTAAGTTTACTTGACCACAGGGATTCTGTTACTTAGAAACAAACCAGAACATTTTAATAACATGAGGTATTCCTTTCCTTTTCCAAACTAATACTCAGTGTAATCACATGTTATTTTTAATACAATCATGCTTTCCCTGGTGTGGAGTTCACATTCTTCACATTTTATGCAAAGGAAAAAATAACCTAGTGCATAAGTTTTGATTTTTATCCATTTACATGCACAAAGGAAACATAATTTCACAAAAAAGAATAGATTCTCCAAAATCTACTTACTAACAGAGTAACAGCATGTGACAGATTCAATTCCAGCAGTGCTTACCATTGTAAATGTTTCTGTACAGCATATGGAAGCAAAGGCATGTGAGTAATATGCAAAAGTTTTCCTTAAAACATGTAGAATCATGGGGCTGGGAAAGTGGCTCAGTGGTAGAGCGCTTGCCTTGCGTGCATGAGGCCCTGGGTTCGATTCCACAGCACCAGATTAGCAGAAAAAGCTGGAAGTGGTGCTATGGCTCAAGTGGTAGAGCTCTAACCTTGAGCTGAAGAGCTGAGAGACAGCGCCCAGGCCCAGAATTCAGGCCCCACAACCAACAAAAACAAAACAAAAAACATGTAGAATGAAACATGCATTACACAGACCTACACAGTTTGTAGTAGAAGTCTTATACAAATGCCTGTGCTTCTGTTGGGTTAGACT